TAGTTTTGTAATCCCATAGGATTTCGTAAAAGTCATTTTGCATTGACTAGCTGTTTTCTAACCTCTAGTTTTTTAATGAATGCAGACAAGCTAAACGTATGATTTGTAGTTTCGTTTTGCTAACATTCCTAATTGTAGTTTATTCCATAAATATAAATTAGAGTACATTTTAATATCTACTTTCTCCCATCCCAGATTTCATTGCTGTAAATGTATCCAATTCTTCTGGCGGCAGTAGTCTCCAGAAAATGATTGATGCCGTCTTTTTTCATGAGCTGACGACAACTGACTCTAAGTACATGTCGAGAATAGACGGGAACACAACAAACCGGGTTTCAGGCTTTTCTGTGGATTTTGTATGAATCGCTATGATTGACATTTCCAATTCTATTTTCATAAAGTTGCGAAGAACGGTGAGGGAAAAGGGGGAAGGCATTTTGCATTTTGCTTCAAAATTCCCCCGAAATTTGCAATAGCATGGACCAATCGCAATGGGAGCAATTAATTAATTATAGAACATTTTAGACGTGCTTCTATGCGATTTTACGGTGTCTTGTTCTCATTTGAGTTTGTAGCAATTTTTTCTACCATGTTTTCCCTCGCTCTATAATACGAGCAAAGGAAGCCCCTAATGAGCTCTTCTCACCTTTTTTCAAAGCTACCTACTAAGTGGAAGTTAGACTCAGTGCCAAAAATTGGATCTTTCAGTTTACAAAGTACAAATATTAGTTCAATTCATTACTTGCGAAATTAAATGGCCAGAAATATGCTATAGTTGATTTTCCTCAGGGGACCAAAGCCAATTAGGCGCTTAAAACTCCATGCACGTTATGTTTGAAGTAGTTGGTACTGCTATGGACGTGAATACATTGTTTGCTAATGCGTCGTGATTTGGCGAACATGATGACGTTTGTTATTTTGCGGGATTCCAAAAAATGAGAAAAAAAAACTACAATACGACATTGGAGAAGTTTACTGTTCAAATATCCCAATTTGTCAAATTTGTTCAGGGATTTGCTTAAGCCATAGCACTAGAAACAAAACGACCGTCATATGGAAAAAATATCGAAAGCGAGTATCGTCGACTTCATTGACTAAATCAGTGGAACAAACTG